ACAGGAATCATGGCGTCCAAACCTGATTTTTAATCTGTGTTTTGCTTTTTTGGCTCAGAGCGACGACACCCGATAACCAGAGCAAAGATTAGCAACTCCCCTGAAGAGAAGAAGGTCTCCACTTTATTGGCTTTATGGTTATATAAAATTGTATATTCAAATATTACATATTCTAAATATTCTGATATATTAAGAATATGTATTTGTATTATATATGTATTATAAATATTATATATTGTCTTTATTCAATCAAAGCATTATCATATAAAATGATGTATTAAAATATTATATATTCTAAATATTCTGAAATATTTAGAATATATATATTTGTATTATATTTTATATGTATTATGAATATGATATATTGGCTTTATTATATAAAAGCATTATTATATAAATAATATTTTAAATATATTATACATAAAAATATTATATATGATGTATATTGTAAATATTATTTATATATACATATATAGCAGCAAACTGCTTTAATTTTTCTTCTTCCTGGAGTCATGAAGCTTTGAATTTGATCAATTTTGTATTATTATTTTTGTTTATTTTCCTCAAAGCTAAAATGATCCCAGCCTGTTTCAGAACTCAGCTCTTCTCTTCAGGTCTGCGTGGAGTTCTCCTGTTTTGACTCACTTTGTTCTGTTTGTGTCTCTCAGCTGGTTTCTCTGGTTCCGGGTTCCCAGTGCTGGTCCGACCCTCTTTCCTGTCCCCCAGCCGGGCCCCTGGTTCTGGTTCTGGTTCTGGTTCTGGTTCTGGTTCTGGTTCTGATTCTGGTTCTGATGGGGTTCTGGAGCTGGACTCGGGATGGTCATGTGACTGATGGAAACAAAATTCCCTTTTTCCAGACAAACAAAGGTCTCATTCAAGCTGAATTATTTATGAAAGTGGACATCTGGCTTACTTTCCACGTTGGGTGCTTCTAATTTCATTATTTTGATGAAGTTTTTATTTTTTTAATGTATTTTTAAACAAACCGGTGGATTGCTTTATAGCTGTCTTGTATGTTAATGCTGCCTACAATAAATTACATTTTTTTCAAAAAGCTGTTTCTTTGTCAGGACAAAATCACGAATTGTGAAAGATAAATAGTTTTGGGACGCTCAAACCCCTCCACCACGATAAGATGGCCGCACAGGGAGGTGAAAATCAAACAGATAAAAAACAGTATCAAACCAGTCAAAACCTTTGGATTTTACCTCCTCTGCTGGGTTAGATTCATCATTCTGTCCTGATCTACAGAGAAACTGACCCTCAGTCAGACAACGGAGAGCCAAATGCAGAAGATCCAGAAGGTCTCTTTCTGTCTTTTACAAATAAAAAACACCAAAAACGCTGGACAGAAATTGGTAAATTTTATTACGGACATGATAATCCAACAGATGGGGACAGAAAACGTTGCTCCTCAGAGACATTTGAAATACTTCATTTTATTTTGCTCGAACAGCTTGAAATTTCAAAAGAACATAAATAAAAAACTAACAAAAATCTGCAAACTCGGACTCAGAGAGACCTTGTTCTAGGAAAAAGTGTCACAGTTTATAACACTTAACGTCAGAGACTGGAGCTGGTTTCTGACTCCACAAGCAAATGGACACCAATAAACCTGAAATATTCAGATTTCATTCAAATGTCGGACACAAACACTGAGACAACTTCTTCTCATCGGAGACTTCAAAAACCCTGAGCAGTAGCTCCTTTTAACACTGGCGTCTGTCTGTGGGAGGCCCTTCTGTCCAGGGCTGGAGTCAGAACAAGCTCCACCTCCTCCCTTTTCTGACCTGAGGATGGATCAGGATCTCATTAGTAAGAATCTGAGTCACAGGTGTGTATTCAACAGGCATCAGACTCCATTTGGGGATAAAAACTCTGTTTTAGCTGCTTGGAGTTTGTAACAAAAGAGTTAAACAGGAAGAATCATCACTGGTTAACATTAAATACTGTAGAAAAAGAACAAGTTACTGTTTTACCTTTACATTTTTGGAAGGTTTTCACCACCAATGTTAGAAGAACAGCAACGAAAACAACGGAGGAACCAATGATGAGCCCAGCACGACTTCGTCTTTCTATAAAGGAAGAAGAAAAAACATTAAGGACTCTCTGCTCAGGAGCTGAGATCTTTCCAGTTTCCAGCAGCAGCTCTTTGGGAATCCTCAGAACTCCTGTTTCCTGTCTGTCTGATGGGTTTTCTTTGCCCTATTTCTTCCATCAGCTCCAGAAATGGAAAAGATGATGAGTCTCTGTGACAAAGAGCCTGAAGATCCACTTTAAGCTGCAGATGCTGGCTCATCCCTTGAGTTAGGGGCTCGGATTTAAGTGGTTTTTCAAAAAAACTGGACCATAAATGAGAGAAAAAGTAAAAGATATCCAAACAAAAACTCTGAAGAGCTCAGAAATCTGAATCCCTAGTGACTAGGTAGTGACTTGAGTCACTACCTAGTCACTACCTAGGCCTCCATGGGTACCCACGGAGGCCTAGGTAGTGACTCAAACGCAGGCAAGTGTAAGCAAGGTAAAGAGTTTATTTCCAAAACAATCAAACGCTCAGAAGATTCCACAAAAAGGTCACATGTCCAGAACACAGGCAGGTAGATCCAAATACGAAAATAAATCCAAAGGGTCAGTAAGGGAAAACAGAGATGAGATCCAAAGAACAACAAAAAGCCACTTGAGGCTAAAGAACAAAGAGAAGCGCACAAGACTTACTGAATGACCGACGAAGACTCAACAAGTAAGGCAACAGAACACGGGGTTTAAATACTCTAACATAATAAGTAAACGAAGCAATCACATGACACGGCAATCATAGGGAACAGGTGGTGGAGACACCCAAAAAAGGAAGAGGGACTTTGGCGAAGTTAGGTGGTGAGACAAAGAGACCCAGATTGTGACACATCACTGAGCTGCAGCCATGACACAGCCAACCCCGAAATCCTGCCCGCTGTTCGAAAACTATATTACAGAACTTAATAATTCTTGGACCGTGAGCGGCACGAGGTTTTCAGGGTTCAGCCAGTGTATTTTATAATCAGCTGCTCCCACCGGTTAGTTTTTTATGGCAATTTCAAAATTAGGTCAGATTTGGCAGTTGGTCCGACTTTCTGTGAATTCTTCCATTGAAATCCTATTGGAAAGGGTCGTGAAAGTCTGGACTTTGGGCCCGATTGCCGGAAAACCGTAAGGCCAAGATCAAAAGCAGGCACATCGTCCGAAAGAGGAAACTAGCAGTTACGTTTCAAGGCCGTTTTGGCGCCGTTCGTTCCCACGGTTTGGTCGCCAGAGGCCTGAGTTTGACTTTTTTGGGTGAACGTGCGCACAGAGCTCTCAGAGGCTTTAACAAGCTGAGCTAGAGTGAGGGGCAGATTCTGGGATTTTGTGATTTTCATTAAAACGTCAAGAGTGATTGCGAGCAAACGGTGTGAGATCTGGCTTCGTGGCTCCAATATGGTGGAGGCCCGTCTTTCGTGACCCGGTCAATGTTCGAACGAGGTCTCTCGGATGTCGTGGGGCCGAGATCTGCTTTTTTGGGGGCCCGTTTCTAGGGTCTCCCATTCATTCCTATGGGCCAAATATTTTTCCGCTTTTTCGCCGTTTATTCGGAAACGCTGGGACTAATGAGAAAGATTTTTACAAGCACGCATCCCGTTGTAGGGACGGACGCGCATACCGCTTTTGGGCCCGATCCGCGGAACCGTGCGCGACAAGTTACGCGCTGAAAATATAATGGAAACAGGAGAACTATAAGAAGTGACGGAATGAGTATTTTGGATAGTAATAGGGGGGCCTGCCCCTAGCAGTGCCCCCCTAATGACTTGTTTGTCCCTCTTGCCTCGTTTCTGCGTGCCGGGCTCTCGGATGCCGTGGGGCCCAGTGATGAGGCCCTGATTGCTCGGCTTTTTTTTGGGCCCATTTCTAGGGTCTCCCATTCATTCCTATGGGCCAAATATTGCAGCTTTTTTGCCGTTTACTCGGAAACGCCCAGACCAATGAGAAAGATTTTTACAAGCATGCATCCCGTAGTCGGGACGGACGCGTGTTCCGCTCTTGGGCCCGATACGCGGAACCGTGCGCGACAAGTTACGCGCTGAAAATCGAACGGAAACGGGAGAACTATAAGAGGTGAAGGGATAAGTATTTTGGATAGTAATAGGGGGGCCTGCCGCTGGCAGTGTCCCCCCTAATGACTTGTTTGTCCATCCTGCCTTGTTACTGTCTGTCAGAGAGGGAATCTACATTTTCAGATCCTGAATCAAACCCACTGAGGCTCGTCAAAGGCAGGAACCAGGTTCTGGATGGATCCGTTTGACCCAAACCAGGAATAAACATCTCAAACATCTCAAACTGTGTCCCACAGAGGGCCAGAGCTTTAGATCCCTGATTTGAATCCTTACGGAAATCAGGAAAAACACCAGAACAAGAGAAGATAAAACCATGAAGTCATGAAACTGGATGTCGGATATTTAACATTTGGACATTTTCAGATGCTGAGTCAAACCCACTGAGGCTCCTCAGAGTGGCCGTGCGGCTGCTGGAGGCGGTGCTGACGGTGCAGCTGTAGCTCCCGTCAGCTTCTCCCTCCGGCAGCAGCAGAGAGCTGCTGATGTTGTACAGCTGCTGCTGCGTCCGCTGGACTCTGGTTTGCTTCTGGAGGCTGCTGTTGGATGGGGTCTGGAGGGGGGGGCTGTTGGATGGGGTCTGGAGGGGAGGGCTGCTGGCCCAGAAGAGCTCAGGTTCAGGGTAGATCCAGCTGGAGCTGCAGGTGAGGCTGTTTCCCTCCCGGTGGACGCGGACCGCTTTCACTGGAGCTGCACACAGCACAGAAACAGCTAAAAAAGCTGCTCAGTGATGAAAAAAGCTATTCTAAATGGGGTTTTCTGTCTTTTTGATTAACAGTATTCTCATCTTTTTTAGGGTTTTCTGTCCTTTAGCCACTTTGGGAGGGCGTCCATTACACTCCAAGTGAGCTACATCTCTTTGTATTTAGGAAATATGAGTGTAAATAGCTAATATAAATATCCTAAAAACCATGGTGACGACTAGTCAGGAAGCTATAATTGATAATTAAGCGATAGCTTAGAGGAGACCCCCCTAAAATGAAATGAAACTATGTAGGTAACAGATAAAAAAAAGCTGCTCAGGGATGAATAAATCTGCTCTGAATGGGATTCTCTGTCTCTCTGGTGAACATACAGGGCTGCATGCGGTTAAATCTGTGCACAGAAGGCTGTTAAAGAGTCGTACCGTGCACTCTGACGCTGAGGGTCCTGGTGGTGGTTCCTCCGGCCGTGCTGCAGTGGCATCTGTACCGGCCCCCGTCCTGGACCCGGACCCCCCCCAGCAGCAGGGAGGCGTTCCCCCCGGGGATCTGCCCCCCGAACAGGGAGGTCCGGCCCCTGAAGGCCGGGTCCTGGTTCCCCAGCTGGTCCCGGTTCTGGTAATAAAAATGGACCCGAGGCTCTCCATTTGAGACCTTAATCCAGTAGATGGCGACGTTGTCTCCGGGGGGGAAGCTGCAGGGCATCAAGCAGCTCTCCATGAAAACACAGGACAGCTCCGACTCTGAGGAACCACAGGAGCAAAAGGTTTTATCAAACTCAGAACGCACTCGCAAGGAGTGTAAGCAAAGTACAAAATAAAGGCCACTCAACCAGGACGGTTAGAAAAGTAACAAATCAGGATCACTCAAAAAACAAAACTAGCAAAGGCTCATAAACAAAGCAACAAAATAATACTCACAGGGAGTCAGAACAAAAAGAGGAGGAACAAGAATCACTCTTTCGAGTTAAAAACGAGGTTCAAGGCGCAAGGCAAGGATGAACTATAGTTTGGTTCAGATCAGTAGGACGAAACCCACTGGCCCAAGACAAGACGTGGACTATTTAAACACATGAGGGGAACTCCAGGTTAACACAATCAGGGATCAGGAAGACGATTGGACTGGTGACACACATGGGAGTTACAGACCTGAAAAAAGGGGATATACCTTTCAAAATAAAACAGGAAATGAGCAGACCACATGGAGACAGGACAAAAAAACTGCTTAATAACACTCTGCTCTATTTAAAATTGCTCTTTTCTTTTCTCCTGCAGCACATAAATATCCAGAAATCCTTTTTTAAATAAGTGAAAGAAAGCGTTTAGCTTCCTGTCAGCTGAGACCACAAACTGTCACTTACTTCCAATTTTTGGGTTCCAGAGACATGTTTAAAGAAACTAATTTTGGGCAACATTTTGCACACCGACTTCTATAAAAAGTTCAACTTTGCCTAAATGGAGAAAAGTCCACAATAAGCACACAGAAAACATGAAAGTTCACATTATGGGATTTGTGTTTTGACCCCCTAAAGCCATAAAGAGGGGACATGGACGAACTTTAACTGCAGTCATACAGACTTTCATTATGCTGGGACACGTTTATGCTGAAATACAGAATAATCAGCTGGATTTTACTGTAAAACATTGAATAAAAAGATGGATTCAGCCTTTTCCTGCTGATGTTACAGGAAGCAGAGCTCAGACAAAAAGAGATTTCATTAGCAAATTTAATGCACATTACTTCAACCTTTTTTCCCTTTAGAGAGGAAAACAAACTGGAAACTATAGAAACTTTTAAACATTTAAAAGGAAAACATGAATCAACATGTTGAGGAACCAAAGGAGGGACTCATTACTCCTCATTCACTTTGTTCCCACTCAAACCACCTCTGCATCACATTTAATGCTGTTTTTCAGATTTATCAGTGATTCAAAACAGAAAAAACAGATTTAAAGAGTGTTTTCTGGCATAAAGCTGAAATTGTTCTCTTGAACAGTTTGTTTCTGATCAAGGTTTAAACCGACCCAGGTCCCAGAAATAATCAGATATTAAACAAAAATAGAAAAAAATGTGTTTCTAGTGAGTAAAGAGGCGTTAGAGAGATTAAATCTAACTGCCGCGCTTTCTCCATAATGTTATTTGTTCATGCAACCTAACCAATGAGGAGTTCAGGAAAAACCTGTTTCTTTGTTCTCCTAACAGTTTTTGGCGGTTTAATTCTTTAAAAAGATTTTTGATGCAGCTTCAAAAGCATATGTAATTACTAAAACTAGAATATAGGAAATAAGAAAATCACAAATTACATTTTCTACCTCAAAGAAGTCAAATTTTTTCTTTTTGTTTTTCCAGAAAAATGTAAAAGATTACGAAACAGTTGGCGGGGAAGTTTAAAGAACAGAAGGATCAAAGTTTTTACATTTAAAAACAACATTAATGGAAAAAAAAAATTCCCTTTTACTTTAAGTATTTTGCTTTATTTAAAATAGAAATAAAAATAGCAATAAAAAGCAAAAAAACATTCTTGATAAAAGCATTAAAATTGTGATCAGGACCAATGATAAATAACCTGTAGTACAAATAAATAATCCTATTTTTTAAGAGGATCCATCAGTGATTTATTCTGGTTTAAATGAATTTATTTAAGTTTTCAGAGCTGTTAGCTCTCTGGGTTTTTTCTGGGTTGCAGTTACTGGAAGCTTTTAAAGGATCCGTCACCATGAAGCTGCTCCGGTTTTAATGGAAAAGCTTAAAAAGCTGCAGTCTGATGAAAAACAGCCTGGATTCAACTCACCTGCTCTGGAGGAGGTCAGAAAGCGAAGGAAAAAGACCAAAAGCAAACGGAGCTCGTCTCTTTGCATGTCTCCGTGCATGTATCTGCGCATGTCCCCCTGGAGCTTTACTGTATGGAGGTTTCCAACGTGCTGTGACTTGTTTTTGATTCTGAACGAAGAGCTCAGAGGCCTTAGGAGGAAAAGCCACCGAGAAGAGACCCAAACAGGAGAAAACAGGATAAAAAACAGATCACAGACGATTTAGAACCATTTTAATATTTTTCCCTTTGTGATGGAGAAACTAATTCATCCAAAGTCCTAAAAACACACAAAGGTTCAAACTCTTTGTCTTTCACATTTCTTCCAACGGGGGATGCTGTTGAGCTGAGACATTAAAACCAAAAGAAAAGACGTTGTAACTTCCCTTTAAAAACACTCTAACGGCTTCAGGGTTGTCAGAAATAATTACTCATATTATAATGAGAATAAATGAGAAGAGGATAAATAAAAGACGTCTGACATAAGATTCACATTTAGGAATGAAATATTCAGCAAACAACTGTGGAGCCATGTTGTCCGGGGTATCAGGAACCTGGTGGGGTAACCTCTCTGCTGGGGAGGGTTAGGGTAAGGGTTAGTTAGTTAGGGTTACTACCCAAACCCTAACCCTAACCTTTCTGGTGGGGAGGGATCCTGAGTGTTAGGGATAGGGTTAGGGTCAGTTAGTGTTTCTACCCAAACCCTAACCCCAACCGTAACCTCTCTTGTGGGGAGGGAGCCTGGGGGTTAGAATTAGTTAGTTAGGGTTACTACCCAAGTAGTAGTTCAAGAAGATGGGAGCTGGACCCTTAAGCACTTTGTAAGCCAGAATCCGGGACTTGAATCTGATGCTGGCAAGCAGGGGTAACCATAGGTAACCAGGGGTAACTAGGGGTAACCAGGGGTAACCAGTAAAGCTCAATGAACAGAGTTCATGGAGGGGAGCTGGCTCCGATGGTCCCCCGTTAGCTTACGTGGAGCTTTAGCTCAGATGGAAAATTATTGCTCTCAGTTTCAACCAGCAGAGGGCGCCATTGTGTTATTTGTTTCACCAAACGAGTTCTGACAGCAAAATATTTTGCAGGCGTTGGTGTTTTACTTCTTTTCTGAATAAAAAGTCCTAACAAATGTGTCCAGAAGGAACTGAAATACAGTTTTTGTAGGCGTTTCTGTTTTTTAAAGTCCATAGCAGCTGCCTCACGGTGAGTTTTAAAACTTTCCTCTGGATGACTCTGAAATGTTCAGCCCACCGGTTAGTTTGCATCAGAATGGACACTTGGAGAAGTCTATAAGGTTTTGTTTGTGTTCTGTGTGCAATATAAAGATATATTATTGTATTATTAATATTATTACAACGCAAAGCTTCATGTGTGGGAACTCTGTGGATGTGTCATGTGTGTCGGTGATGGAAAAAACTGGTGCTCAGAGACTTTGGAATATACTTTATTTAATCTTTTGTTCGATTGGTTTGAAATATTTAGCAGCGTCATTTCAAATGTAGATTATAAGTGAACATGTGCAATAACAAACTCAGAGAAAACAACTGTCTCAACAATATGAGACAGATATATTAAAGCGTCACACTTTAAAACACCATTAAAATCAGAGACTGGAGCCGGTTTCTGACTCCACAAGCAGCTTGAGAGGAATGAACCTGTAACATTCAGGTGTTCCTTCAAATGTCGGTCAAATAACACAACATATTCAACCTTCTTCTTCTCAGAGACTTCAAAGACACTGAGTTGTAGTTAATTCAAACACTTGGTGCTGGCTCTCTGTGGGAGGCGTTTCTGTCCATCACCTCCTGGGAACGACCTGAGGACAGATACAAACATAGAAACGTTCAGAGTGCAGCCAGCAGGGATTTGACCCCTTTCTCATCTGAAGATAAAGCCGGTGATGCTGCTCCAGTAATGAAACCAACCATAAGAGGCACCAAACATGGCACCAAACAAACTAACATGTTTGGTCCTCTGTTCTCAGATCGGTGAAACAGATCCAGAACTTCAGAGATTTACCAACAAAAAGCAGGAAAGAAAAAACATCAAATGAACCCAGAATCCATTGTTAATATCATATAAAGAGTTATTGATGCATCAGCTTTCAAACGGTCGGTCTCAGGATCTCATTAGTTAGAATCTGAGTCACAGGTGTGTATTTAACAGGCATCAGACTCCATTTGGGGATAAAAACTCTGTATTAGCTGCTTGGAGTTTGTAACAAAAGAGTTAAACAGGAAGAATCATCACTGGTTAACATTAAATA